TCATCACTTAAATATTTCCACTAAATTTTATGCATTAGAAGTGATGGTGGTAAAGGTGAAGTGCAAAGTTCGCATAATACCTAGAGCTAGGCCGGGTCTGGAATAGACTGAACTAGAATTAACTGTCAGTTAATTTTAACGGGTAGGGCGGTACACCTATTACCATCATAGGAGCCAAAGTGAGCTTGTTCCATTTTAATTGAGCCTGTGTGGCCCGAGTATTTGGTTCCTATAGTTTAAAAAAATCTAAAATCAATGCTAAAAAATCTAATAATGCAAGATGTATTCTGGAAAAGTAAAATTTATTGCAGAATAAATGATTAATTATAGAAAATTTCATGGTCTCTAATGTCTTAATCAAGGTTTAAAAAGGCGGGTTCGGGTATCAAGGCGGTTTGTTCCTAAGAGGCGAGGCCGAGGCGTAAGCCTCAAAATATACTAGTATAGACATATAAAAACTTGAAATAGTTAAACTAATAACAAACAACTAAAGAAGTAAAGGATATATCCATAATTACAAGTCCAAAAAGTGTGAAACATAAACACATACGTAGTATGAGTTAATACCAGTGAGTCATTAGAATTCAAACACACAAAGAAACATCACACGAGCAGACATATCACTCACAGAAACATCACACAAACTGAAAGATGAATAGAAAGTATACGTTAAGGACTTACGGTTTAAATGAATTGAAGACTTGTTAGAGTTTAAATGAATTAAGACTTGTTAGGGTTAAATGGATTAAGACTTGTTATGGTTTAGTGCGGTCACATGTTTAAATACTGGACTTCTATTTAAAAAGTACTCTGGGCCTTTTATTAAATGAAATGCCTTGGGCCTTTTTAAAGTTAGTGCACATTAAAAAACAGAGAAACAAAGGAAAAACGCCTCAAAAAACGCCTCAGGGCACGCCTCAAGGTGTACGCCTCACCTTTGGAGGCGTAAGCTTCTTAACCTGCGAAAAAAACCTAAAGCCCTGATACCCAATGTGTACGCCTCACCTTGAGGCGCGCCTCAAAACCCGCCTCTTAAGTGCTTTTTTAAACCATGGTCTTAATGCACATTTACTTTATTCATTCCATTAATGAGGGATTATAATTATCCTCACTCATCTTTTACCCTCAATAAAATGGATCAATATTATTCAATCTCCCCCCTTGAATATAATAAAAAATTAACAGTCCGGTCTGCGTACCCGTTTTTCTAGAATATTTACCATCCGCTCCCACCTTAAAATATATACTACCCTCTCCCCTGCTAGATTCTTCCAAACTAAAACCTGTCCAATATTTGACCCTGACCTTAATTAGCCTCAGATCCTATACCTGTTTGTGCACCCCCTAATAGGACCTGTTAAAATAGCAAATAGCACTGGAGAATATATGGTGCGATTGGCAATTGTAATGTAAATATGTAATGTAATGTTGGCTTCGAATTGATAGATGTGATACATTGTGTTTAACTTGCTGCTGGATGGTCTCACTCTGAGTTGTAGACCCCCCCCCCCACCCCCACCCATTCCTGACTTCCTGTCTCCTTCCCCTTTACAACACAACACATAAATGTTCACCTTGAGCACTTGAGTGCACATCCACTTTTCAATAGAGAGACACATGCAGTATCAAAGCTAAGGGGTCATCCTAAAAAGCGTCCCACTCATTCACTCAAATTCTTCAAAAAAAAAAGGGAAGCCGGTCTCCACTAACACATGCTATATTTATAGTATTCGCGTAATGATGAGAGTGCATAGCTTCTTGTTAGGTATAAAAGGGGTTACACAAATAGGAATGTGATTCCAATATCACATACACAAAAACAATAAAATCATGACTTCATGAATACAAGTGTTATTCCTTCAATGAGAAGAGACATGCATGAAGAACAGAATTCTTAAAGGGATCAAGAAGGGAAATCTGCTGCCTCAAGTGGTTATTTTCTGATTATAAAAGTTATAGCATACTTCCACCTATGGCTTGGATGTTGTTGTGGTTGTTGGCTCATGTAATATGAAGTACGATAGTATATAATTCCCCTAATAGTCAAGTTCTGATAAAGACCCGTGAATTTACTCTCAAAGCCATACCTAAATAAACCTAATGTGGCAATAAATCCCAATAATGTGTTTCTCAGATAGGTTCAAACTATAGTTACTATACAGTGCATTAACAATTACTTTCACAGCTGAGAAGTGACAACTATTAAGCTCCCTTTGGTAACTCTCTTAATCTCTTTTAGTAGTAGCGGTGACAGTTGCTATTGCCAACCGTCATCCCTGAGTTTAGCATAACTTTTTTTTCTAATTTGCATTAGCATACAGACCTCAACGCACAACACCATGCTTATGGTTAAACTCAGCATTTGTAATGTTACACCTATAAGCCCTTAGGTCCCTCTGGGGAAGACTTGTGGTACATTAGCATTGTTCAGGCTGGTTGAATTGGCTCCACGCTTTACCAAAGGAAGATTCTTTTTACAAAATATATACTTTTGGATCACAACTTTTGGCTCATTTGTTCTTAATTCTCCTAAATTAATAAATCTACTGTAAATAACTAAAAGAAATCTCATCACCAAACCTGTGTTACCAAACATATGAATTTCTAATGGTGCTACTGTCAGCTTTTCACCTCACAACCTCAATCTCACCCTATTGGGAAAGAATACCTAGCCAATGAATTGGAATGGTGGAATAAAAGGTAGGCAACTGACCAACGTTTGAAGAGGCGGGGCTTCAAAATAAATGGAGCGAATAGACATCTTAGCGATCTCGGAGATGGCAGTCTCTCGCACTTCAGGCTCATCGCTGGTTAACTCCTCATAAGCCGCCTCGAAGGCCTGCTGCCAGAACTTCGGCAATCTGATCCGACGACCATTAGTGTAGACATCCCACATGTGCTTTACCATTTTCTCTCTCTCCTCCATTTCCTGTCAAATTGAAGATATTTTTTCAGCCCCGATATCAATCCACTAGCTTCAATAATTCATCAAATTCTAATGAAATAGTATTCCAGAAGGTTTAGTTATGACACTCACGAGGACGTCTAGATCTTCGTAAAGAGGAATGTCGAATTCGTCTGAGAAACGGTTTAGATTGCCGGCGGACCACCGGAGAGTGACTGTGCCGGTGAATATTGACCAGAAGGCAAGCAGAAGAATAGCCGCCAAAGCCCAGAACTTGTATCGTCCACGACCGAATAGAGATGAATTCTCCTTCTCCTTCCTCGAATGCACGGAAGTAAGCGTCGATGATGCCGAATACGCCGTTGGAGTTGACATCGGCAACGCGCTATCATCCTTCATCTCCGAAAGCTTCGAATCCAACAAACTAAATACAAGAGTTAAAATTGAATGCTATTCTCCTCCTCTGCTTACAGGATTACTTGATTCTTTCCATTGCGGATTAAGCCGGAGATGATGAATACCTTTTGCTTGTGAATGTGTGATTTTCAGTCTGAGATGAGGTGAAGGAGGCGATCTAGAGAGAGAACCGAAGATGATTTGCGGGTCACCGACTCTCGCTAAATGATTTGTGGGCTTGATCCAAGTCAAAGCATATCCTAATTCACTATACAGACCCAATTAGCAATCGGAATTACTATTAATTAATGGGTTTGCGAGTAAACCTTTGAAGTATTGTGTCACGCCGGATTTTGGGCATGACCGTTTGAATTTAGAGGGACCGACAAATAATTGTTTTAATTTAGTTGTCTAGGTCCTATGCAAGTTAAAGTTGACTCAATCACTCGGTTTTTGCTGCGTGTGTCTAGACTTCGTTGCTAGTTAGAAACAAAAAATAAGGTAATGTTTGGTTCAACAATTTTGTTGTACACATATTTGTACGTATTTGTCTATGTACACAGACAATGTTGCACAAGCTGTTTGTGTATACAAACAATTAGGAGGTGTCACATTGTTTGTGTGCACAGACAATTACGTACAGTGCATGCAAAATGAGTAACAATTTCACGTACAAATAATTTTTCCTGTTTGATTTGAGGGCATGGAAGGGGAGATAATCAACCCTCTTCTTTGTGAGTGAATTATGGTGAATGTTATACTAACTCACAAATAAGTAAAGTACAATATTTATAATGAGCTTGATCCATCCAAGTCATTATTTCAACTTGTGTAAATTTGAATTATTCAATTCTATTCATCAAACCGATAATTCATTTCGTCATGACAAATTCAATCAATTGAGATCTTCTTTAGTGCGCCTAGATGGGTTATGTACTTGTTTGTGAGGGGTAGAGGTTTTGAATTGAGTGCTCACACATTGCGGTAAGGAAATAAGAGAAACAAAAAGATTGGTTTATTTATTTTTTCTAATGGTTTCTGTCTTAGAATTGTATGTTGTTTAAAAAAGGATGCATTTCATAAGATGGCCAAAATTATTAATACGGCAACAAAGGTAATATTACTATAAGAATATTTACTTGAACGGTTTGATTTGATTTTCTCTCCTTTGTCGCAATTAATTTTATCTCTTATTTATTTATTTCGACATCCATTGTTTTGAAAGGTTGAGGCGTGACAATTATTACTTCATGGCATTCAACAACCATCTTTCATCGAGCAACTACAATATTTCTCTTCAAAAACTTTTCACTTTTATAACCTCAAACAAAAATCAGTTAATTATGCACATATACTAGACACTCCTTGGTAATCTTAGGATGTTCTAAATTGAATTATAAATATAATTTTCTAATTTGGTCTAGACTTGTATAATTTATTCAAGTGTTATCTGATCTAGATCGTCTGGTATGATAAAGGTCTATTCTATGTGTATTTTCGAAATGTCGAAAATTGGTCTACTCTGTCCTGGTTATCGGATCTATAGTCCAATATGATCTTGTCTTATTTGAAATTAAAATCGGTCTGGTTAAAAAAATTATCATAAATTGGGCTTCACCATTTTTAGTCTGAATAGACACTCCTGAGATCCGACTACTGCATAGTGCATAGCACCTAGGCCCGTTGCTAAATCAAAATTGTGAAGTTCCAAAATCTAACCAATGGCGTGAAACGAAAAAGCAGACTTATAAATGTGGATCAGACCATTGCGTCCAGCCCAAGTTCAAGCCGGAGCACCTCACCAAGGAATGCGGTGCCCGTACTGCGCGGCGAGCCAGGGGCGGTGCGCCACCACTTCGACCGGCAGATTAATTACAGAGTGCAGCTCATGTGGCCGTGTAGTAGAGGAGCGTCAGACACAGCCCCACCACCTCTTCCACACTCGTGCACATGACACTCCCCTCTGCCTCGTTACCTCCGACCTCCCAACTCTGCCGGTCTCCGCCACCGCTTCCGGCACATCCAATAACGATGACGAAGACCCATTTGAGCCCACTGGATTCATTACTGCCTTCTCCACCTGGTCGCTCGAGCCATACCCAGTGTTCGCCCAATCTTCCATTTCCTTCGCAGGACATCTAGCTGAGCTAGAACGCGTACTCGAGACAACGTCTTCGCCTTCCAGTCCTTCGAGCCCCTCTGTCATGGTGGATAATCTTAGGGCATATTTGCAGATTATCGATGTGGCTTCAATTCTGGGATTGGAGTATGATATATCGGACCACGCATTTCAGCTCTTCAGAGACTGTTCTTCCGCCACGTGCTTAAGGAATCGGAGCGTTGAAGCGCTTGCCACTGCTGCGCTTGTTCAAGCTATCAGGGAAGCTCAAGAACCCAGAACGCTTCAGGTATATCTACTTTTCCCAGAGTTGGAACCCTATACCACTTGTTGATATTGCTCATATAGTCAGATAATGTGTTCTCTCTGAATTTGCTGCATTTAGGTTATTCAGATTCAATAAACTTAGCTATGTGATACTATGATAGAATTGAAAATGAAGGTTAGAACTATGAAGGGAATCTTAATGACATAATTTTAATGCTAAGAAAGACAGAAGAAAAAATAGATCAAAGATGAAGATTGCTATACACTACTTACCATGCCTTTTCATAACTGCTTTGATGTTTGTTTACATTATTACGTTGAGTTCAACCTATCAAGAGAAGAATTGAAGATGTACTAATTTATAGGAGATTTGATGAAGTTTTTCTTGGGCATTTTGGAGTTGACAACAAAAGTATAAACAAGTGTCAGCTATGAGCCTATGACTATGATTCTACATGACTTAAGGAATGAAAATTGTAAAGGGTCATTATGGAGTACAATTAAATTGAGTTTGTGGTAGGTAAATGCGGAGGAATGTTTTAGCCTTTTAGGGAATATCATGAATTTAATATAAATGCTTGTTAAGTTAATGTGTGGGAATGTGGGATGTATCTCCCTTAATCGCTTGAAGGGGTAATTATGCCATTCTCTGGACATGTTGTAAAACCGTTATCTGCTTCTGTATTTTCTTATGAAAATACTCTCTCTAGGGGGGAGGAACATATAGTCACTACAACTACCACTACCACTACTACTACCACCACTACTACTATTTATTATTATTATTATTATTATGATTATTATTGTTATTATTATTATCATTATTATTATTATTTCTAGTAACTTAAATGGTTGCAATGCGTAGAAACAGGCGTATTGTTTTAAGTTATGTCATGTGCACTCTTTATATATCAGGAAATATCACTTGCTGCCAATTTACCCCAAAAGGAAATCGGGAAGTATATCAAGATCCTCGGAGAAGCTTTACAGTTAAGTCAACCTATTAATAGTAACTCCATATCCGTCCATATGCCAAGGTTCTGTACACTTCTTCAACTGAATAAATCTGCTCAGGTATTCCTCTATCTTTCTGTGGTGGCATTTGGCTTGAGTTCTCTATTTGGGTCATGTTTGGTGCCAAATATAGACTAGAAAAGGCATGCTTTTGATATCCCGCTTTTGAAGTTACACTGTCACTAAAAAACCAAGTAATCTGAGAAGTATGACTTGAATTAATTCAGCAACATCTCTTATTTATCTATTTAGATACTGAGGTAATATAGATCTTCAATTCTATATTAGCAATAATATGATTTACCGATTTAACTTTTCGCTTTTCCTTTTCTCCCTTTCCCGTTTCCTTTATAACAATATTCTAGAAGTATGTTGATGTACAAGCACAAATGTTTTGATGATATTTCACATACTTGCCCCCAGTAAATACTACTAGGATCAATGCCTAGAAAAGGAAGCCAGTGGCCTTTCTTCCTTATTAAGGATTTCCCGGGGATAGATCTATTATTGCTCAGTAGAGCTGCATGCTTATAGAGAGGAGAGCAAGAATGTTTTGAATATATTTCACATATATCAAACTGGTTTACAAGGTTGAGATTTATACACATTCTAATCATCTATATAAGGTAAATAATAATACTTATTAAATGACAAGGATTTGTAACGGCTAAACACAATATTATGATTTAAATGCAAATCATTTCTTTCTTTCAATACGCCCCCGCAAGCCAGGTATTCTGTCACTGCCAAGAATCCTGAGCTTGTCTCTAAGAAGGATGAAGCGTTGTCGGGGAAGTGGTTTGGTGAGGGCATCAACTATCTGATCAGAAGATGGAATATGATGAACTTGAAGAAGTCCACGTTGAACCCGCTGCCGAACAAAATGAAAGTCAATAGCCACATGTTTCATGCGAGAGTGGAAGACAGGATTTGCTGAAGAAGTAGTGGCACCTTTGTTATCACAAAGGAGTGGAGGAGAAAGGAGCGGGTGCCGCAACTCACGCAAAAGAGATTCAATCCAAATTATTTCAGAGGCAGCCATGGAAAGAGCTCGATATTCAGCTTCCGTGGAAGACTTAGCAATAGTCCGCTGCTTAACTGATTTCCAAGATATAAGGGACTCCCCGAGAAAAATGGCATATGCGCTAGTAGACGAACGGTCATCAGGATTCTCCGCCCAGTCAGCATCTGCAAAGGCACGGAGCGAGGGTGATGTGCTGCGACAAAGAAGGAGTCCGTGAGAGGCAGTGCCCTGCAGATAGTGCAAAAGACGTTTGACAAGCTGCCAGTGATTAATCGTAGGTTTATGCATGAATTGAGCCAGTTTGTTAATAGCAAAGGTAACATCTAGGCGGGTAAGATTCAAATACTGAAGTGACCCGAGGACCTGGCGATAAAGAGTGACATCACAAGAGCCTGAACTGTCAAACAAAGTTAATGAATCAGAGGGAGCTAACGGTGTAGCCACAGGATTAGCCTCATCCATTTTTAATAGTTTTAATAAGTCCATAATATATTTGTGTTGATCAAGAAAGAGTCCATCCTATGTAGGAGTAACTTGCATGCCCAAGAAATAGTGTAAGGCTCCTAAATCCTTGATAGAGAACTGGTGGGCCAAGGAATCAATAGTATGACGTATCAAATCTGGTGTAGAGCCAGTAACAATAATGTCATCCACATAAACCAATACATAGATGTAAGATGGATGGGAGGAAAAGATGAACAGACTGGCATCAGCAACAGATCGATAAAACCCAAGTGATAGAAGAAAGCCACTAAGAGATTGATACCACACCCGAGGCGCCTGCTTAAGGCTATAAATAGATTTTCGAAGACGACAAACAAACTCAGAACCATCATTAAAGCCAGGAGGTTGCTTCATGTAAACTTCCTCTTGAAGATTCCCATGTAGGAATGCGTTATTGACATCTAACTGATGTATCGGCCAACTATGAGAAAGAGCAATAGTCAAGACAATGCGAATAGTGACCAGTTTGATGACTGGGCTGAAGGTATCAGAATAATCAATCCCAGGGCGTTGATGAAACCCTTTAGCCACTAATCGGGCCTTATAGCGATCCAAGAGCCATCCGGTTTATACTTCACAGTATAGACCCATTTACAACCCACAATATTCGGACCAGGTTGAGCGGGAACAAGATCCCAATTGCCCTGTCGAACCAAGGCATCAAATTCTACTGTCATAGCACTCCGCCATTCTGGTACCTGCATAGCTTGAGAAGCACAAGTTGGAATTATATGGTGAGGTAAAGGAACATTAGTGACAATATTGGCCTGTTTACGGGGTCGAAGGGTCATCGGATGGGTACGTTTGGGTGGTGGAGTATCAAGGGGTGGGTTTGAGGTAGTAAGATCGGTGGTGGTGGGTAGATGAGGGGTGGGGATAGGAGGATTAGGTTTGGGTCGGCGTTGGTAAGTAATAATTTGTGGTGGTGTGGGTTTAGGGAGGGGAGAAAGCTGTATATCACTTTGGGTGTAGGTAGCGGGTGACGTGTCAAGAGTCAATTGTTGAGGTGAGGTATGAGTAAGAGGAGACGCCCCTGCGACCAGAGTACCTGAACTGGGAAGATAAGACATAGAAGGTTGAAGCCAGTGATCAACTTCAGAATTGATATTTGAGACGGGTGGTGAGAGTGTAGAAAAAGGGAAGACTAACTCATCAAACACAACATGCCTGCTGACAAAGATACGGTTGGTGGTAAGATCAAGACAACGATAGGCACTTTCTTGGTCACAATACCCCAGGAAAACACACGGTTTAGAGTGTGGTTCTAATTTATGAGTGGTATAAGGACGTAACCAAGGAAAACATTGGCACCCAAAAACATCAAGTTTAGTATAATTAGGAGGTTGTTGGAAGAGTTTTTCATATGGAGTGCAAAAGTTAAGAGAGAGGGCGGGTTGTCTATTAATGAGATAGACTGCTGTTAGAAAGGCATAGGACCAATATTTAAGAGGCATTGATGCATGGTGAAGGAGGGTGATACATGTTTCCACAATGTGACGATGCCGACGTTCAGCAAAGCCATTGTGCTCGGGAGTGTAGGGAGGCGTAAATAAATGAGAAATACCACATGTGCTTAGGAATTTTCCTAAGGTGATGTATTCGCTTACCCCATCAGAATAAACTGTTTTAATTGTGCGTTGAAAAAAGTTTTCAACAATCTTTTTAAACCAAATATATTTGGTATAATGATCAACAAAGATAACATAGTAACGAAAGCCATCAACAGAATTAACACGAGCGGGACCCCAAACATCTGTATAAATTAAATCTAGAGGTCCAAAGCTCAAAAGAGAGGATTTTGCAAATGGCAGCTTATGACTTTTATTACTAGCACACGAGACACATAGAGAATTATTAGCAGTAACATCGGAAAAAGAAATACCTAAGGAAGACAGAATTTTTTTAGTGATAGGGAGGGCAGGATGTCCTAAACGACAATGCCAATTATTAAGGGAATATTTTTGTGTGATGTGAGTAGATGGAGATGGTGGAGGGGGTACATCTGGTAAGCTGTAAACGTCTCCTTTATTCATACCCCGTAACAAAATTGCTCCCGTTCGCCGGTCCTTAATAAGACAAAAGGAAGAATGAAATTCAATTAGTACGTCATTATCACGGCATAATTTGGCAACAGAAATTAAATTGGTATGAATAGAAGGGACAAAAAGGGTATTAGGTAGAGAAAGAGAGTGAAGGGTCATATGCCCAACTTGTGCTATCGCAAGACCTTTACCGTTACCAATAACGAGAGAGTCAGTGCCAGTATAATCGGATGCCAAGGTAAGATTATTCAGGTTGTTGGTGACATGATTGGTTGCTCCAGAATCAAGTAGCGAACCATTGTGCCTAGTGACAACCGTATTGACTTGAGGAGGGTAAGCTTGTTGTTCAAATCGATGCCAACAATTGAGAGCAGAATGGTTTAGTTTCCCAGAAATTTGACATGTAATATTAGCCCCAAAATTACTATTCCTCGGGCTGTTGCGGGCTGCCTGGTTGCTAGTAGGGCCCCCAAAATTATTATTTCCACGTCGGTTGGGATTGTAATTAGTATTGGGCCTCTGAGTTCTGGGTGGATTCCGATTAGAGTTGCGGCCAGGATAAGTTGTACGATTGGGTTGCTGCTGAATTTGGGCCAGCGGTCCTGGGCCCAAAATGGACGGTGCTGGATCTCCTCTGCGAGCCGCAAGTGCTACAGGCTCTCCAGTAGTTACGTTATTAGCCGTCACTACATCAACGGAGGAGCTCAAAACTTCTTTCCGCTTCATGGAGTCTTCGAAGCCTGTGAGCAGAGTATAGATGGTCTTGAACCGGCTATCACCGCAGGTACGAACAGAGTGCGCAAAGGATTCGAACTCGGGTCGGAGTCCCTCCAGAGCTTGAACGACGAAATCTTCGTCGTCTACAGGGCGCCCGACCTGAGCCAATTCATTGGCGAGCGTGCGCAGGTGATGGAGATACGCCCCCACTGATTGAGAGCCTTGTTTGGTGTGACGGAAGATATCTTTCATGTTTCGAATCTGAGATGGCGAACGAGTCCCATAGAGGTCTTCAAGAGTCTTCCAGACTGCTGCAGATGTGCGAGAGGATCCGACTAGAGGTTTATAGGCCAAACTTAGAGAGGCGATGAGGGCGTGTCGGATGAGCCGGTCTTGCCTAGTCCATCGGAGATGGCCAGCGACATCGCTTGTGGGTGGCGGGGCAGCATCATCAGATATGTATTGATCAAGGTGATACCCAAAAAAAAGATCCAGAATCTGATCTCGCCATACAAGGTAATTCGAACCATCTAGCTTTTCTGGGAAATGGCTGGGATTGAGTAGGATTAATCCATCTTGTGTGAGAGGTTCGGAAATTGTGGTAGAAGTGATAGGTGTACTGATAGGAATATTGTCGAGGTCTCCTTGCCGGAGGACCTCGGGTTGGCTGTCATCGTTGGTTGTCATAGAGGAGGGAGGGAGGGCTGGTTAGAGCTCAGTAGCTCTGATACCATAATAGAGAGGAGAACAAGAATGTTTTGAATATATTTCACATATATCAAACTGGTTTACAAGGCTGAGATTTATACACATTCTAATCATCTATATAAGGTAAATAATAATACTTATTAAATGACAAGGATTTGTAACGGCTAAACACAATATCATGATTTAAATGCAAATCATTTCTTTCCTTCAATACATGCCAATTCAAAAGGCTGTTATTTGTCTCCTGCCTGCATTGGGAAATTAACAACCATTAAACCACTTAATGGTAGATTCATATAGCATTTCTCAGTGCTCTGTATAATGGAGCTTTAGGAATTTTAACCAGGCTTTATCCTGCTGCCAGTCCAGTACTTCACAACACATTGGCCTCCTGAGCAAAGGACACCATTACAAAAAGGTTGAAAAAATTATTGCTGAAGGTTCTGCTTTAGTTCAGTGTGGTTGAAATGACTGCACTGTGTAAAACTGTAAGCAGATTCTAGTAGCTTTGGTCTGCAAAAGTTTATCAACAAATCTCATGACTATGGCTTACGTGGTTTATTTATGACTATATCTAATACTTCTTCTGTCCCCAATAAAAAAAATCTTGTTCAGAAAAAAATCTCACCTTAAAGCAAGAGCCAAACATCATAAAACAGGGCTATTTTTTATATATATTGTCAAACATGTTACACAAAAGTTAATTTGATAAATTTTGTTGATCATACGTGCACACACACATAAGCAAGACTCCATGATATGCGTGTTGGTGCTGCAATATCAATTATGTTGTAGACATGACAAAGGCGAATACATCAACTCACTGTCATTTCATGCTATTTTTCATGATGAAATAACTTATGATGATCGCAGTTTTACATTTTTCATCTCATAATTCCCTCCTATGAAGATAAAGACAGAAATTTCATCAAGCATAAAACATTGCCAAAGCTTATTGCATGAATTTATAGTTTTAATTAATTTGAAAAAATGATATGTATATTACTAACATAGTTTGACCGGACAAAAACATGACTAGTTACTGTGTACGAGTAATTGGACAAGAGTCATTATAGTCTATTTTATATTGACAAGTCATTGATAAATCATGAGTCACTGTGAACTAGTCACTGAATAAATCACTTTTTCAGTAAAAATTAATGTGTCATATTTTTGTCTTTTGAATTTAATTTAGTAATATTCATGGGAAAAGGCCTAATTATTTTTTACAATTCAATGACACTAAAGTGTAATGGGCAATGGTACGGGACTATGGGCATTGAGATGGTTAGGGGAAGGAGGGGCCAGGGAATGATAAATTTATAGCAAATTACATTTCACGATCACATCTGGAGTTGGAGACATGGGACGTGTTTACTTCACTGCTAAAAACACAGTTAGGTTAGTAAGACAGGTGAAGTAAATGGGTGCTTAAAGTGCCACTTATTAAGCATATCACCCCTCATGTATTAATCAAGCGACAGTTTAAGCTTTTTAGTTTCCGTATTTGCCCTTACTGTTACCCCTACCTTCCACCCCTACCCCTACCCTACACTTACCCCTAACCCGACCCTACCCTACCCGTACCCAAGCGCTACCCCCTACCCCTAGCCAGCTACCCTTGCCGCCACCCCCCCAACCTACCTTGACCGGTAGGGGTAGGTGTAGGGGAGGGGGAGGGTAGGGTAAGGGTACAGACAGGGGTAATGGTACGGGCCACGGGTAGGGAGTCGGGGGCAGGGATACGAGTTACGGGTAGGTGTAGGGTGGTAGGCCCCCACGTATTATAATTGAATGTTTGTGTGTCTATATATGTATAGGGTTATTTTGGACATTTTAATTTTAATGGTGTTTTAAATCATGTGAAGTAAACAAGAGCTTATAGCACTGTTTATTTTACGGCGCCGTTTAGTAACGCAAGTTTAACTCTTAATAAGCTTTGTGTAGTAAGTTAGTAACGTGTGAAGTAAACATGTCCTTGGAGTTAAATTTAAGATGATTTTTCCATTTCCTTAACTCTTCCCTACATATATCATTATCCAAATTTAATATCACTGACCCCAACAAGTTGGGATTAAGTTGGATGCACTTTTGATGGTTGAATTTATAGGGGTTGTGGTTTCTTCTTTCCAATCTTCATATACTGGATTAATTGGTAGTTATTACAATGTTACAGGAGCTGGCAACTCACATTGGTGAGGTGGTGATGAACAAATGCTTCTGCACTCGAAGAAACCCAATCAGCATCTCTGCTGCTGCAATATATTTAGCCTGCCAGCTCGAAGACAAACGAAAGACCCAAGCTGAAATATGTAAGGTAACTGGACTAACTGAGGTCACCCTTCGTAAAGTGTATAAAGAGCTCTTAGAAAACTGGGATGACTTGCTGCCCTCAAATTATAGCCCGGCTATCCCTCCAGAGAAGGCTTTCCCTACAGCCACTATTGCATCAGGGCGTTCTTCGAACTCTAGGGCTGACATCATCATCGAAGCTATTTCTTCCGAGCGTGAAAAGCAAGCTGCTGAAGCTAAGGTGAATGATATATCCCACATGGCATTTGGGCCGCAGTCGGATAGTGACAAAAAAGGTCCAGTTGGTGGTAGTAGTAGTGAGTGGAAGAGTCAAAATGTGGTTCATGCTGTGGAGATTGATTCTCATCACCCTAAAACTCTTGAGGAGATGCAAGTAGAGACAAATCATGCGATGGGCATTTCAGGTACTACAAGAATTCCAATACCCTATTTCTCCTCTCAGTTTGATTCTGGTGTTGTTCCGGTGTCTTGGCCGTTTCAGTTTGTGCAGCCACAGAAACATAATGTTAAACAAGACGAAAAAGATCATGTCAACTAAAGTTGGTAGTCTTTGAAGTGTACAGTATATTTCTTTGCTGGGTGTCTCATGTCACAATGTTCTCTTTTATTCTTATACTCCGCGTATTATACCTTTGAAAGTAATCAAATTTATGTATTTTGATATGGTAAAATTTGGCCAATCAGAAAAGTGACAAATAATAATAAAAGAACTTCAGACATTAAAGAATAAGGAGCAAATTGGAAAAGAGACGAGAGAGATGCCTTTTGTACATGCCTGAAGGCTAACATGCCATTTATATGTCTAGTTTTGTCTGTGTACAAATAATTTTTTTTTTTTCCATTTTCCAAGGTGAATTGTGCTACAGACAACATATTTGTGTTGTTTGTTAATTCACCTTAAAAACATAATAAAATTGGTCATGTAAATGACGTGTACTTTTTTGTGTGCTCAAGAAGCCGGGCTCTTGAAAATATAACTGAGGCCGTATGTGATGTGTTGGTATTTTTTCTTCGTTCATATAATACATTTTTTTACCCGAGGGTGTTGGTATTATATTAACATATGTGATATGTTCGAAGGGTTGGAATGTCATTTCTTAGATCAACATCCCTTATCGGCTGCCACGACTCACGAGTGGCAACCATGAGTGACATGAGTGTCCTCCTAAGGATGTTTTTACTCGGATTGGTTTCAGTCTCAAATAAATGAGATTAGACTTAAATACACAAGATTTAGACAAATGAGACCAAATTTTGATAGTTGTAAAATGCATAAAGACCAAACATCTACTAGATCGGTGTAGACCAGAACAAAAAAAAATCAGTCCAAGTAAAAATATCTTAAATTCAAGTGGCAACTGAACTGTCATCCTTACCAATCTTCCACATTATATTGTCCCGAATAATATCCCAAAGCTTTTTTCATGGAAATACTACGTGAAGCAAAGGACGAGTTGCAACCAGGGGCGGAGCTAAAAGGGGGCAACCTAGACCTTGGTCCACCCCAGATTTAAAAAATATCTTAATTTGTAAGATAAAAAATTCTATGTAAAATTTATTCCAAAAATATTCTTTGTAAGGAACTTAATGGCTGAGTCCGACCTAAGGCCTTGGCTCCACCCGTGGTTGCAACTGAGACAACTACAAAAGCATTGAGGACGTTGTTGTTGGGGATATAGGCAGCATGCCAATAATGGGAATGTTAGTACTCCTAAAGCTTTTTATAACCTAACTCTCCAACGCAAGTACGCAACTGGGTTTTTACACATGACATATCCCTCCATTGCTTCCAATCAATTCATTTTCATATAAGGAATGCCCCTTTAACTGATAATCATTCGTAATATTCTCAATTTTGTTGTACGAGAACGAAGAGATTGTGAAGTACTCTTAAAGACTTTGCAGTTAGTGTTGGACTGGGTTCGGGCGGACTGTCGGACTGGCCTGGCCCGGGAAAGAAACCGTTTGAGATCGGTCCGGGCCGGTTTTCTGGTACCGGTACCTGCCTGATAACCGCACCGGCTCGGGACCGGTACTATTAGAGACCAGTCACGAGCCTGTTTCCGGTTTCAACGGTCATTTTTTTAAAATGTTTTTTTAAATAGGGGAGGGTGACCCGACCCACTCCTGTGGTGGTGTTAGACGTGAAGATTGTAGTGCATATGGAGGCATAGATCCCTCTTTTAGGATCCTTCACCCAAAATATATAGAATAGCTTTTTTCTTTGAGTTCAGTTAAATGATTGTAATCGGGATTGGCCTTGAGCCATTCCCACTACAAAAAAATTCGCCTGTAGTCACGGACCGTAGTCACGGATTTGGTCCGTGACTAGTTAGTCACGGTTCTAATCACGGTTTAATCACGGAACGATTAAAAAAAAAGTAGTCACGGATTTGTCCGTGACTACGTCTGTGACTATAGGTAGTGACGGACCTAGTCCGTGACTAAATTGTTCCGGTCAACCCATTTTCGCCTCCGGCGGGATTTTTTTTAAATTTGAAATTAGTCACGGATTGTTCCGTGACTAGTACCGTGACTACAGTTAGTCACGCACGTGTCCGTGACTAATTTCGTGACAAGTGCAAAATTGATTTTTTCAACGTTCCAAATTTAATGTAGTCACGGACACATCCGTGACTAAGTCCGTGACTACAAATTTTATATATGCAGCCTTCGCTTCATTCAACAAAATCACACCATCTACTCCAGATAGAATTCCAGATAGAATTGAAGGATGTAATCTACCCATCTCATATCATTTTTCCTGTTTATGCAGATAAGGTATGTAATTTGAATTACGTATTTTTTGTAAATTAGTTAAATATGTAAATTTGTTAATAAATACATATGTAAGTATATTATTAAATATAATATTGGCAATACATATGTTATTAATTTTAAAATATAGGGTTAAAATTACGTAAATTAGTTAAATACGTATGTAAGTATATATGATTAAATATAATTTAAATGCATATTATTAATATTAGTTAAATGTAAGTATTATTTAATTCAAATGACTTTATATATATATATATATGATTAAATATAAGTATATGATTTCTTTATATTGGAAATTATTGTTAATTAAGGCGGCCTAATTTAGGATTAATAATGATTTAAATTAGGGTTGGTTAATTTAATTTAAATGTGTTTATTATATATATATGCTCAAATTATTGGATTTGCTCATATTATTTAATTTAGTAAATTGTTAAATGTGCATTATTAATAAGATTAAGATGTTGATAATTTTAGTATTGTGGATTAAATTAATGTCATTAACGTATTGTGCATGTTTATAGTTTAATAATATTAATTATTGGACGTTAGTTAATTTTAATGGAATTTTAGTGAATTTTAGTGAATTTTAGTGAAATTTTAGGCAATTAGTTAATTTTAAGGGAATTAGTTAATTTTAAGGGAACTTTAGGGAATTAGTTAATTTTAAGTGAATTTTAGTGAATTTTAGTGAAATTTAAGGAAACTAGTTAATTTTAAGGGAATTTTAGGGAATTAGTTAATTTTAAGTGAATTTTAGTGAAATTTAAGGAAACTAGTTAATTTTAAGGGAATTAGTTAATTTTAAGGGAATTTTAGGGAATTAGTTAATTTTAAGGGAATTTTAGTGAAATTTAGTGAAATTTAAGGAAATTAGTTAATTTTAAGGGAATTAGTTAATTTTAAGGGAATTTTAGGGAATTAGTTAATTTTAAGGAAATTTTAGTGAAATTTAAGGGAATTAGTTAATTTTAGGGAATTAGTTAATTTTAAGGGAATTTTAGTGAATTTTAGTGAAATTTAAGGAAACTAGTTAATTTTAAGGGAATTAGTTAATTTTAAGGGAATTTTAGGGAATTAGTTAATTTTAAGGGAATTTTAGTGAAATTTAGTGAAATTTAAGGAAATTAGTTAATTTTAAGGGAATTTTAGGGAATTAGTTAATTTTAAGGAAATTTTAGTGAAATTTAAGGGAATTAGTTAATTTTAGGGAATTAGTTAATTTTAAGGGAATTTTAGTGAATTTTAGTGAAATTTAAGGAAACTAGTTAATTTTAAGGGAATTAGTTAATTTTAAGGGAATTTTAGGGAATTAGTTAATTTTAAGGGAATTTTAGTGAATTTTAGTGAAATTTAAGTAAACTAGTTAATTTTACGGGAATTAGTTAATTTTAAGGGAATTTTAGGGAATTAGTTAATTTTAAGGGAATTTTAGTGAAATTTAGTGAAATTTAAGGAAATTAGTTAATTTTAAGGGAATTAGTTAATTTTAAGGGAATTTTAGGGAATTAGTTAATTTTAATATATTAATAATACTCCACATATAATATGTTGGTAATGTTTATAATTTAGAGTTTTTAACCTGTATAATTTTTTTATTATAATATTCAGGCATAATGTAGAATTTGGATGTATGATAAACATGCGGTATTGTACGGAATGCAATCAATTTTTTTTTAAGGAGTTGAGGAGTTTATTAAATTCGCACTTGAACACCCGGCTTATATGAGTGGTGATAAAATCAGATGTCCATGTTCAAAGTGTAAAAATCTCAAATTTAAACACCCAGACGAAGTTGGGTGGGATTTGTACGCGGACGGTTTCCTTCCCAATTATTATAATTGGACTTCTCATGGCGAACCTTTGGATCCATCTGTTTTACCACAAACGGTAGGTTCGTCTCGTAACGTCCCTGCAGAGATGAGTGCGTGGGGAGACCCTGCTGAAATGAGATGGGAGCAACGTATGGTATATGACGCATACGGTGCATCGATGTCTCAGTTCAACCCCCACAACCATCTAACGATCCTCCTGAAGCTTCGACCTCGTATCAACCACATGAGGATGAAAATACACGTTAAGCACACATTTTTTCGAAATACATGTTAATATGTTCAGTTTATTACATGTTCTATATGCTCAATATAACATGATTTAGTTTGTATATATGTTTAATTGGCATGTCTATATTTGTTGTGTATAAGTTTAATTACATGTTCTATATGCTCAATATAATTGGCATGATTCAGTTTATTACATGTTCTATATGCTCAATATAACATGATTTAGTTTGTATATATGTTTAATTGGCATGCCTATATTTGTTGTGTATAAGTTTAATTAATATGTATGCCTAAATAAGATTTCATTATAAGTTAAACATGCATGATTAAACATTATCTTTTTTAATTTCAGACTTATGAATTAAAGAACATGAGTTAGTTTAATTAATATGTATGCCTAATTACATTATATTCCCAAATAATTAAAGAAATATCCCCTCGTGTTAAACCTCCAAAAACATTTAACATGTTAATTATAAAATATTAAGTTAGACATTAAAAAACAGTTTTCTCAAATTTAAAATAAAATATACACTATGAAAAAACATTGTTTAATAAATAAACCGTTTTAATTAAAAAGTTTTCCCGAAGTAATTAAAAAATACCCCCTCATGTCAAACTTCCAAAAAAGTTTAACATGTTAATAATTATAAAATATTAAGTTAGACATTAAAAAACAGTTTTCTCAAATTTAATATAAAATATACACTATGAAAAAACACTGTTTAATAAATAAACCGTTTTAATTAAAAAGTTTTCCCGAAGTAATTAAAAAAAATACCCCCTCATGTCAAACTTCCAAAAAAGTTTAACATGTTAATAATTATAAAATATTAAGTTAGACATTAAAAAACAGTTTTCTCAAATTTAATATAAAATAT